CAGTTTCTTCCATACAAAGTATATCGAAAATTTTTTATTGAAAAAAATTCGTAATACAGTCAGAAAAAAAGATCAAAAAGAACGCAACTTTTTAGCAACTTAACTTGCACCTTATTATTAAAATTTAATGGGCTATAAAACTGCATACTCAAAAAGGGTGGACAATTTAGATTAAACTTTGCAAATTTTTTATAATTTTTGCACAAAGTTTGATTTGCATTTATATGGTGTTTGTTATATAATGCGCTAAATTTTTATGAAAAAATATTAAACATTAAATAAACAAAAGAAAATAAGCTAAAATGATCAAAGTTTTGAGAAATCAGTGGTCATTGATTCTGGAAGAATGCAGAATTGTAGCTTAAAATGTTGGTTCTAATTTGACCGAAGATTTAAGATATTTAAAAATCATTTACGAAGAAAATCTAGAGACTTGTATTTTCTTCAGTACAAACTTCTAAACAAAATACACGAATTGAAGATGGACGTATCATTTGCTAATGTCTGAACGGTATGGAGTCTACGTAACTTGAGATCGACTCCCTGTAAATGCCGCTCAGGGCTTGTCGATATGCTGACGCGTCTAGAGGTTCGCAAAGCAACCTCGTCCGTCAGTTCGTATAGATGCCTTCTGACATGCCTTGGCGAGGGCTCCTCTGCAAGCAGGTGTCTGTTCGGGTGCGCACACATCTGTGGCTCCCTACTAAGAATTGCTTGCAGAGCATTGTGTTGTGCTCCTTTATGGGGATCATTTTCGCCACGTCATGTAGGTGGTGTTCTGGCGACATCAGAAGAAATCCGGTCGCAGTGCGAAGTGCTGTATTCTGTGCTGTCTGTAGCTTCATCCACTGCGTCCTACTGGTCCCCGGCGACCACACTGGTGCTGCGTAATTTAGAACCGGCCAGCCAATTGCCTTGTATGTTGCCAGCAACTTTTCTTTGTCTTTATCCCAGGTACTGCCGGCTAGCGACTTGAGGACCTTATTGCGGCTCTGTACTTTGTTGACAATAGCGGTTGTGCGTGCAGAGAAGGAAAGCAGACTGTCGAAAGTTACTCCGAGTATTTTTGAGTTATTCACCGTCGGACCTGGTGTGGGAGGCTTGCGCCCCCAGCGGTAGTCTGAACTCCTTCGTCCAGGTGGTAAACAAAGTCGGTGAGGATTTTGTAGGGGAGAGGTTTAGGCTCCTAGCAGTGAAGAGGTGAGAAAGCTCTGAGAGATACTCGTTTACTTTCGAGCACAAGTCATCAATTCCATTCCCAGACGCCATTATCGAACAATAATGAGCGTAAGAGACAATCGAGACTACCTCTGGTGATTGAGGGAGCTTGGAAATATAACAGTTAAACAGTAATGGAGAAAGGACACCACCCTGTGGAACCCCCCTAAACATTACTGACTAGTGTCGCCCACTCAGATAATTCGCCGACCACCATTTGAGTCTCTGTGGGAGAGAGGAGGCCTCTATGTCTTCCAACAGCGTGGAGTGGCTGACGGTATCAAACGCCTTTGGCAGATCCAACGCTACTAGAATAGTTCTCTCACAGGGGCGGTTGCGGTTTAGGCCACCTGTTATCTGAGTGTTTATGGCGTTCATTGCTGTTGTTGTGCTGTGTACTTCACGGAAATCATGCTGTTGCTTCGCTGGGGTCAGGTGATTCGCAAAATACGGGAGTAGCAAGGCCTCTAGTGTCTTCGCTACCTGGAAAAGGAGTATTATCGGACGATAAGACTCCTTTGTTGGGTGGTTTCCCCGGTTTGAGCAGTGGGACCACTCGCCCCATCTTCCAGATGTCTGGAATAACGAGAGTGGCCATTGAAAGGTTGAGAACCTTGGCTAGATAATCTACTCCCGCAGGACCCAAATTTTCCAGCACCCATATGCATATTCCATCGGGTCCCATAGCTTTGGAGGCTTGCGCTTCCTGATGGCTACCTGAATTTCACCTCAAGTGAAAACAAGAAGCGTGTTTGTGCAGTCTTCTGGTCACTCGACGTTTGGCTTTGTCCGCCGGAGGATGTAGTATAAATCGCCAGCTATAATAGCTCGCGCATCGCTCCGGGTCCGACGAAGCATGGTCGCCGAAAGATATTTCGACTCTTTCGTCGCGCGTTGTCGGATTGGATAGCGACCTCGCGGTTGACCAAAGCTTACTCACGCTAGAGGTGAAGTTGCAAGTCTTCAGATGCTCTTTCCAGTTTTTCCGCTTATGTACGTTCACAAGCTGCCGAATCTCCGTGTTGAGATCTCTGATACGGGGATTTCCGGGATCGGCCTGACGAAGGTTCCTCGAAGTACCTCGTTCAATCTCGCGTGGTGGGCAGACCTGATCATGCCCTGAAGTGGCACAAGCCAAGGCAGGTGTTGCACTTGATTATTGTCAAACTACGGAATATCCTGGTCTGACACACCGTGCAGATTGGATGAACAACGTCAGAGATATTTCACCGAAACCGCCGAGGCATAATTCTAGCCGGTTTGAACGTAACCGAGACGATTGCAACGTAATCGATGTAAAGCAAGACGAAGACTACCGATAGAGTACTAAAATCGCAATCAGAGACGTTGTCGTCTGCAGCCCATTGTTCGAGATACATAATACGGCAGTTCCTTTCGCCTCTATGTAATCCAAACTTGCAAGGTGGTGCAGGTGTCGAGATATTTTGAAAATCCGTATTTCGATAGTTGAGTGGAAGACCGACCTATCTCGGCAGCCAGTTCGAAAAACTTTTCAAGAATGCCCTACTTCAGAATATGATTGAAAAACGCCCTACCTCAGAATTTGGTTGAGGAACGCCCTATCTCAGCTGCCGATTCAAAAACGCCCTATCCAAGGCGAATTTATATAAGCCCAGCCAGCAAAATCATCGTAAACAAGCTCGTAACTGGATATTTTCTCGAAGAAGAACCGGATTAAAAATCGTTTATGATAGCCGTTTACGATTCTTTTTCGAGCACTTTTTCGCTTTAAATTGTGCATCGCCTACGAACAGTCGTAAACGGATCGAAAAAGCGTTCGTATGCGAATATTTTTACGTCCGTTTTTTAATTGTAAACGAGTCTCGTAAACGATTAATTTACGTTAAAAAAGCGTTTTTTTACACCGCTTTATCTACTGTTTTTGAATGCTAAAAATAAAGGCAATTAATTAATTCAAGTTATTGTAGTTCTTTTATTGAATGGAATTATAATTAATAAATCAAGTATTGGCACAGAGAATTTTTCGCAATGTATGCAAAGTTTTTTACTTGAATTTCTTTTCGCAAATTCTCCATGTTCTTCCATGCAAATTATGTGCGACATTTTTTTTTGTTTTTGTATGGAAGAAACTGCGTATAAAAAATTGCCAAAAAACAAAGAGGTTTTCTAGATATTCAAGCGTGCACTTTATTATACTAAAATTAAATGGGCTATAAAACTGCATACTTAGAATTTTTCTAAAAAAGCTGATTTGAAAGTAGAACTTCATACTAACTATATTTTTATAAAAAACATTTAGAGAAGAAATCAGAATAAAAAACTTTGCATTCATGGCGAAAAATTCTCTGTGCCAATATTTTTTCCCGGCACTGTACATATATGTGAAGATATTTTCAGATAAATAAATATTAACAAACTATCTATTAACAATTTAACAATTAAATAAGAGGGGTTTAATATATATTATAAAGTAGCTGAATTTACTTTTTATCTTTTTTGCAGATAGGCTGCCAATTTTTTTGCCGGTCGTGTGCATATTGGAAGTGCTTCTTTGAAATGGAAATAAAAACTTCTTTGTCGGAGTTAAATTTTTGACGAAAAGCACCTAAGAAAATAAAGTGAAAGATTAAACTCCATTGGAAATCGGAAAACTTAATTAAGTAATAAATAATATTATTATCCGTACTTCTTATTGCCGCAGTCGTTGCCAAACCAATAGCGCTATAGGGGAATTAAACGTTTAAATCCTTTAGTGTTGCTCCGCGCACCCTGTGAAAGAATTGCAAAACTCGTTAAATTAATTTGTATTTTTGAATTACATATGTAGTAGCTACTTACAAGAAGTTTAATTACAAAAGAAAGTGGTAGATCGTCCTTTTCGTTTGCACCAGTCTGCCAATAAATCACATACTTAATAATTTTCTTAAATTGAATATTTAACAAACTACTTACTTTTAAAATATTATGATTGAAGAAAAATTGTCAACAAAACTAAAATTTTTTCTGGTGCTGACAAATTACTACAAGCCTCTTTCTATTATATTTTTTTTTTGTTTTATCGTTTACGAGCTTTTCTCTAACTTTTTGGCGATACGAGAATCCCTCGTAAAACATAATGTTCGTAAAATGTACGTTTTCTTGCTGGCTGGGAGGTGGTGTTACTAGCTCAGCTGATTTTGTGTATGTGTTTCGCCGCACGGCTTCTGATATCAAATTAAAAAATTTTGTTTGAATTTCTACACACACTCTTACAGATTTTGACAGTTTATGCCGCCAAAGCAAAAACAAAATACATGTAAATTTTTGTTTTTGT